ATAAAGGCAAATGAAAAAGGCCGGACAGCTGTGTTTCGAAGGAGGTATTCTACAACCTTGCCGCTAATCTTCAGTTAATTCTGTCACAACAAGTGCGTAAACAAACCCAAAATGTTCCGCAACCCTTCCCGGCCATGAAATGCACTTTGATCAAGAAGGAGACGAAAAATCATTTCTGATCGCGATATCTTAAAAATACCCTCATAGACAGTCAGCAACAATGTTCTTTGACAGTAGCCCGTGACAACTTGAAATATACGGAAGTATATAAGTCAGACGTGAAAACCATTCACGGTGTCATATATCTTTCGGAAAGCAACAAAATCTTACATTAGAGGCACATGAGTTTGAACATTAAATAGTGCGATTTATTTGAACTCAGAAAAATCCGTCAGCAGCGTTGTTAGTATGGCCTCCTTCATAGTCTTCTGGAATCTAACAGTAAGATGCAGGAAAACAAGAGAATAGCGTGATGCAGCCAGCCGAGAGGACCTCAACTGCCGTTTAGCCAATGACGTAACTCGTTCGTCATGTTACTCATAGTTGGTTTCACCTCATTAACTTTCTTTGTCTTCGCAAAACATCTATCTAAGGTTGTTCAGTTTACGCAGCGAAGTAAATATTTTGCGTATTTTTGGATGATTGAACTGACTTCCGCCAATAAGGCCAACTGGAAAACTTGATTAAAATCCCGTTATCAAATAAACTATAGCACATTTTGACTGACGCATTTTTGTGAAGATTGTCGACTGAGAAAGTAGTGAATTTTCTCCGCGCTGAGGTGGTAAAGCGTTTCTATACAGCTGCACACATCTTGGATCGCCGGCGATTAATATATGTACCAGAACTTTTCATTCACTGAGGCTTGTGTCAGCGAGATGAAGACTACAGCACTTTGTGTTTTTGCTCTGTTCCTTTCTTCGATGTTAGTTGACGGCATAATATATAATCGTCCCTGCTCTTCACGTGGTGCTTGCAATGGAAACGAAGTACATGAATAAGTAGAAATCTCTTTCGTTTTCAATCCATCTAAAATGTTTTAGATGGTGTTAATATTTAATTTGAGTTGAATTTTCTTAGTGGTTCGATTAGGAATGGCAATGTTTTTCTTTTCAAAAAGAGAATTTCCAGTAAGGAAAACTTATAAGTGAGCGTAGAAAAACCTTATCTATGTATTGAGTCATGTCAAAATGAGCTGGAATCTTTCAGTAATGTTTTTTCTTTATCATTTCATTCATATCATTGTTGAATGATCCTGGTTGTTCAATTCACTAAAAGCCGTTTTAAATTCTTTTAGGAAAAGCCTAAAAAATCTCCAACGGAAAAGCCTAAAAAATCTCCAACAGAAAAGGTTGGAGATAAAGGAGAGGCTGGAAATTTTGAAATGATGAAAATGAACATCCGTAGACGCTTGGAGGAGGTAATTACAGGTTTTTAATCCATCTTCTCTTCGGTTTGTCTGGTTAAGTCAGTATCCAAATAGTTGAATTGGAGGAAGAAGTCATTCGGTCCTTTTCGTGCATTTTACTCCAAGTATTCGTCAGAGCTTAACGGTCTTGTTTTTTATTTCTTTTTTTTTCGAATAAATTTGAAGAGAAATTTTAAGATTATGTTTGTTGAATCTTTGTAGGCAAAACGTGAGCAACAGTACCGGAGAGAAATTTGCTCACGAGCCCGCGAGCTGAGATGTGGAATGGAACAAAAGAAATAGGTTCACTGCAGTGA